TGTTTCCTGCAGACATTCTCTGGACCAATCCTGAAGTCTGTCCCACTAGACAGTCTGTCATATTCAGGAAAGAAGCCATGATATAAAGCTATTTCATTTTTTCTTATTATTTGGATCCTCAGCTATTCAATTTGATTAGTTTCAGCTTAATCATTTTGACATTCATGCTACAAGTGTAAATAAGACCTAATACATCACAAGGAAACCATCAATGGAATGGCTATAGTATCTATCTCCCAAGAACAGAAGCAGCAAAGTCCTTTAAGAATGCTTTGTGTTTTTTAAAAAAACAGGAAAGTTAACAATAAATTTCCCATTTTAATTTAAGATGGCCAGCAGCTGGGAGATGTTACTGACTGGAATTCAGCAATTTCTAGACAAGATTGTCTGTGCCATGAAATCCAGGAGCTAGTGCCCAGTGAGCATTACAGTCTCCTCTGCTCTTCAAACCATGCAAAAAATTGGATGTATAGAAATTAGTAGTTTCTTTCCAAATACAGTCAAGTTCTTAGTGCAGCCATGAGATGTCAGTAGAGACCACTGTTTCTCTGCAAACCGCTATAAAATTGAAAAGGTCTCTGAAGTTAGAGTATTCAAACCATTATGGTTAGCAATAGAAATGCCAAAGGGGGATGTTACCCAGCAGCACATACTGCCACTGGCTAATACTGACCTAAAGATTGAATGTGACAGTGATAGGGCTGCTGAAAACACTAGCAAAAAGGGAGGGAAACATTTGAGGGCCTAATTAGGGTTAAAGCTGATGTGTAAAACACAGGAGAAAGCTATTACAGTAAAACAGCACTATAAAGTTGTAAAAGTAAAAGTTAAAAGATCTGGTTCTATGTAACCTAGCCAGAATGCCATGCAGTAGTCAAAGACCTGTAATGTAAACTGGGGATGGTTAAAACATTGGGGGTTGAACCTGGCCTTCAAGACAGTTTTGTCTGACCTCCAAGAACATCTGACCAAATTCCTGTGGACTTGCAATTGATGGGCATACTGTGCCCACTTAGCAAACAAACTGGGAGACCTGGGGCACAAGGGAGTCTCTCTTGAGGATGGTTATATCACTTCTGGAGACAGTTTGATTCTCTAGTACAAAGCCAGAGCACTCATTCTAAGCTGTTTGGTCCTGAGCCGGGGCAAGTTAGTCTGTTAATATGAAAATTACAGTCAGGAGGCCAAGGAACAAGTGTTCTTTACTTATTTATCTTGAACTATGAACTGCTTTACTGCAAGGACTTTACAAAATGAGCAAGAGAAAAGAATATCTGTATTTATATAGTAGGTTCAGATTTTTTCAGTTTTGGTTTTCAGTTTTAGTTAAACCATTTCGTTCATTTGCAAAACAGGTGACAAAACTGGAGGCTGAGATACTTGAGATCCCAAGGTGTCAATCAAGCTTGGGAAAATCTAAGTCTTTTGGATCTGTCTGATGGGCCAGTTCATTTTCCTTAACAGCTTCAGTGGGCAGGAACACCATGCCTTGCTGTGGTCACCTCAGGCGGAGAGCTTGTGAGGAGGTTCTGGCTCTCCCCTGCTGCTGACCAACCAAGCATGGGCAGAACATGTTCTGTTTGGTCTCCAATCTGCCACCCTTTTCAATTTGCATAGAGAGAATTATGAATCACATATGTCTGCCAGAGTCAGTCAGGTTTATTTGCCCTGGATCAGTGATCAACAAATGTATGAAGCTACTTTAACTGAAGCTGTGTCTGAACCAATAATGTCCCCTTGGTCATCAGAGGCTGGTATACAGAGACAGCCAAGCTGCTCTGCAGAATCCAGCTCAGAAGCAGCATAGACCCAGACTGATTCATTGTGGTTTCATGTCTACATTATATTCACCAGCATCTCCTCTAAATGTCTTGTATATCAGCAGTTCTTTCACCCTCAAGGATTCCTCTGACCTTCCCATCCTTCTCTGCCTTTGAATTAGAGACTAGTACACTTTACCCACTCTAACAGCTTTGCTCTGCTCTGTATATCTGTTTCTCTTCACTTTAAATGAAGCCAATTACCTTTGCAATTTACCAGAAAGTAATGGGAACAGTCAGTGTCCTTATCTCAGAAATATTTTGTGGAAAATACAGCAAAGAACTGGGTACAAAAAAACCCAATAGTTTCAGTAAGAGGAAAGAGCTGATAAGGTCATTTGTATCAAATTACATAAAGTCCTTCCCAGGAAGTTTACTCTTTCGAGCAAGACTATTAAAAATGTTCAAGGCTTATTTGACTATTTTTTTAGTTAGTATTCAGAAGGAATTTCAGAGAAATTCAGGGGTTATACAAATATTCAGGAGCAGAAAATACTCCTTATTACCATTGTGCCAGATATTGCAGGAAGCCAGAATGAGAAATTTAGGAAAGCCATGGAAATGAGAATTGCTCTAATTCGATAACAGATTCATTGGCTTTCTAACAAGGCTTGATCACTTGAGTATTTTATATTGTAACTGCATAAGTATTATAAATACCTACCAAATGGGACATGGGCACTTCAAAAGCATCATATAAACTGTAGAACAGATCTGCAGAAAAAGTTAAAGAAAAATATGTATCTTAGTTCTTCCATGTCTTGGTAAATTATTCCCATCTTTTATATATCATTTTATTTAATTTTACAACATTCAAAACCACTGTAAAATAACATCTGTAATAAATGTTCAAAAAAGAACTGAAGATATCTTACTGTTACAGCCTACAGTAACGACTGAGTAACATCATACAAACTGTAGTATAAATAGCTTCGCCAGCACCAAAACATAGAAATATTACATTTTACATAATTCACATAAGCACATGGAATTTTGGCTACAAAGGGTTTTTTCCTTACTCTTCTTATAGAGCTGATTTGGTATGCTTTAACTTGTAAAATGACTCAATTACACCATCCCAACCTAAGGCAATAAGGAAAATATGTGAAAACCAATGTGAGAGCAAGTGAGAATTACAAAACTGTACTGGCTATTCACAGAATTTCTACTGCTCAATCTGTTCAGGATTTCTAGCCTTATTTCATTCTGATAACAAGCAACATCTGCCAGCCAAGGTCTTAGACTGGGATTCAGAAACTCTGGTTTCATCTGACCTTTCATGTGACAGTTTTTCTGCCTCACTTCTCCATTCACAGCATGATATTAATACAGTTTCCTTCTATCTCCAAGGTCTGTAAGCTCTCAGAAGTTCCCTGCCACTATTTTTTGTAAAGTAATTGGTGCTGTGGGACTAAGATTAGAGCTGAGCTCAGTAAGAGTAAATGTGCAATCTTTAACCCAAGACACAATGACAAAATTGTTCTGATATTTAACAGAGGTAGGTAAATGATGCCCTTTGCTCTACTCGAGAAAGCACAAGGGACTTGCCCACTGACACAGTGTGCCTTGCTGACACAGCTCCTGAGTCTCAGTCTTGAACTGTACTGTGAAGTCCTCCAGTAATACATGATCTAACAAAAATGTAGTAGAGTTGGTAACACATTCAAGTCTTTATTCAAAGCCATAGCAGTCAGGAGAAAATTTCTTCATTAACTCCAGTGGGCCCAGAAGTAAATTTTCTCTTAAACACTATAACTGAACAGAAAAACCAATAAAGAAAAACTAGATTACTTGGCACCAAAGATGAAATTCAGGTATCCTGCATGTTCAGTTTTACTTAGTAGGTTTCAGCACAAGTTAAACATTTTCTAGCACAAAGCACATGCACAAATTTTATGAAAAGGAAGCATCATCAAAATTGCTAAAGAAAATCTGGGAAATAGATCAGATACATCCTCTGCATTGAAGAACTGAAAAAGCAGCTAGTAATAAGCTGAAAGATGTAAGCATGTAGCCTGAGCATCTGATAGACTGGGGCTGGCTACAGAAGTTAGTATACACCTCTGGAAAGGCATCTGTATCCTTCTTTTGCAGTACACACACCATTGCACTGCACTCGAGAACTTCACCATCATAACCACTACCATCTGCTGGATAACTAATATCAAGTAATTCATAGTATCTAGGCCTTCTATCCTTTCATTTTTTTACAGAATCAGATCTTGTTTTTAGAAAATTACTAACTTCTTGGTTTTCACCCTTTAAGTAATGATTTAAGTCAAGAGAACACAACACTGTGTCTCTCCTTAGACATCACACATAGCTAACATGCTTTCTCAAATCATCCCATTTTTTGTCACAAAGAAATAGTGTGATAGTGGTACAGGAGAGAGGATGGCCTCTTTGGGAAAAAGGAAGATCCCATAAATACAAAAGGTGTACACTAGGTTAAAGATTACTATTCACCTCACTAGATGTCCTAGGTATGACCTAGTGCTGGGGATTATCACTGGAGTTCTCCAAACATTCTAAAGTTCTTCCTATTCTAAATCTTTATTTTAGATTTTACTTAGTGCAACAAAACCACGTAAGTACAAGGGTACTTATGCCTCACACTATGTCTCCCTAGGTTCAGGTGTGTAGACATCATATATCCCTATATGGCTGCAAAGGAAGATCACACTACCTAGCACAAAGTAGACATCACAGAGCAGCTCTGCTGGTAGAAGCTGCCAACATGTCTGGAATCCTAGGCATACTTTTGAGGAGTCTCAGGGGAGAAACAAAAAGCTAAGTGGACAGTGCATATAATCCTTCAAGGTACTCAGAGGCACTTGCTGGGACAGCAGAAAGGAGAAAAGAAAGCAAAGAATCTGCCTTGTTCTAAGAAATTAATGGACATGTCTTATGATCTGCCAGCTGAAATTATTTTGGAAACACTAACACTGGAATGTACTAGTTTCTAAAGTCACAGGGTTTCCTTATTGACAACACTTGAAATGTTTTCCTGATTTTTTTAGAATCTTTGCATTTTATAGCTGTGTGGAAAAGAGTTTATGGCAGCTGGCAAGACATTCAGTCACAATCTTGCCACTTTTATTACTCCTAGTGACCAGATGCACCAAGAAATCCACATGTCTAGGCTCTGCAGGGTTCTGTTATTGCAAAGATACCTGCTGTTCATAACGCCTGTTCACAACGCCATCCCAGACCAACAACTCTGGCTGCCAGGAGAAACAAAGCCCCAGTGAGCACTTCTGAGACAAAGGAGATCCAGACTAGTGCTAGCGACCAGCCAAACCTGATGTCAATTTCTACCAAGACATCCTTACTCCTCAGGAGGCAGACAGCTTCTTCGAAGGCAGCAGCTGAATATGCGATATAGACACTGATTCCAGTAAGTGTAACAAGAGCTGAGAAAGAAAAACATATTGAGGTAGTTAGCACCCACTGCAGAAATTAAAAGCAATCAATTGGATGCTTCTTAGGGCTTCTTTGCCACTCCTTCCTTTCTGCCCAGGCCAGATTGCCAGTTAGCCTCTGGTTATCTTTGAAATCTTGTTGAGGCTGTTTTTTGGGGAAGGGTGAGAGGAAAGTAAAGAGAGGATTATTTATGTCCATTGAGTTTAATGTGTTCTCACTGCTAAATACTGAATCAAAATGTGTAACAGCAAGACTCCCACAATAAAAATCTAGAGATGTCTTTTACAGATATCTAATGCATGTACATCTGTTTTCACTACTGTATTATAATGCATTCTGACTTCTCATTGCTTGGCACCACGTTGCTGTCTACTTCTATGCAAGAAAGGCCATGGAGGCAGAGATTCTTGCATATCCATTTAGTGACCTGAATTTAGGCAGTTTTCTAATGTTGAGTATTGGACGTTTTGAGCGTTCAATGTGAATGCATTGGTCTTCATTGTCACCTCCCACCAAGTGTTGTGGAGTCATACCATTCATCACTTCAAATAACTGGGCCAAAGACATCCTTGGAGCAGACTGAAAATACTAATAAATAAAATACTACTAAAATACTAATTAATAAAGGCACTCAAAGAAGCAGCCAGATGTTTTCAGAATGAAAGGACTGTACAGAAGCTAGTAAAATGGAAAGAAAAGTCTTGCTTAGCCTATTTCCCCTGGAAGACAAAGTGATGTTTCTCAGCTATAATCTCTTATTATTTAAAAAGGTTAAGCCAGGGTTTGATATAGTACCTCCAAAAAGAAAAAGCAGTCCTGTCATCAGGAGCAGTAGGTAGGCCCTGGCAAGAATACCGATGAATCCGGTCATTCCTCCAACAATCATCAATATCAGGCTGAGGGGCATCAGGATGACAAATGTTCCATGCATATCTGAAAAATAATGAAGAATGTTAATATTTTAATATTTTATTATCGTGTCAGTAGATGTTCTGATAGTTACTGAGTGCAGAGCCCCTGATCAGGATCAAAGCCTTGTTCTGTGGTGCATAAACAAGGAGCTGGACAATCTCTTTGGTTTTCAGCTTAAGTCAGCAGGACAAATATATGGTATGGAGAAAAGGGTAGCATACAGAGCCCCTCACAGGATCACAGCCTGTGTTTCAGGGACCACAAGTATAAAGGATATATCTACGTGGATCTACTTAAGCAGTTTAACTCTTTTGAACAACAGGTGATGCATTGCACATTAGGTAGTCACTCACAACCTTAGTAAGAAGCAGCCCTGTTTATCTGAACCATACAGATCACATTGAGTGGCATTGTTGTCCGGGAGGTGAGATCCAGCAGATGCTTTGGTTAAATGCTTTTTTTCCTGTCACATTTCCTCTGCTGAACTGATCTAGAAAATTGTTGGTCTTTTCCCTTGTTGCATCACCTAGAGGTAAATTTTCCCATCCAGCTCTGATTCTGTGTCTGTCATTGCTTTTTACAGCAGCTTCACTAAGTATATTAACCTATTATGGTTGCTTCCTCCCATGCTAAATGTTTTACATTAGTCTTTCTTGATTCCTATAACATTTTAATAGCTGTGTAAACAGAGGGTTGCTATGCATTTTTTTTCATACACACTGTTTTTTCCATCATATACCATCTTTGTGTCATTTTTCCCTCTCATGCAATCTATCAACAATGTTCAATCCAACTTTTTCTAGAATAATAACAACAACCAAAAAAAAAAGTAGTTCCAGCTTTCAGTATCAATTCATTTCACACCAGAGTGAAGTGCAGAGTTACTAAGAAAGGAAAACTTAAAATCCAGTTTCTGAAGGGCTCGAGGCTTCAGTGTCTCATTTAATTTCACTGAGGAACAACAAACCATTAGCTGGTTCCCAAGGAAAAGGAGTCAGTTAAGAGACCACAGTTTCCATATGATCTGATGATTAATCTTTTTAAGTCACAGTAACTGCCCACTGAATTGGAGATATTCCACCTGCCACTGGCTAAGGATTCATCTTATCCTCATCAGTATCATTATAAAAATAAGACACAATCATGTAGGTGTCTCTGCTCATTTCTAGAACATTGGAAGGTTAGGAAGATCCTGCATGGAATCAAGGCAGACACTATTCATTTCTTTACTAAAGTGAAATGTGGTTTCAAGACATAATAATTTGTTTTGTGTAGTACAGGACATGCTCACAAGGAAATATGTGGCAAATGACAAAGTTTTAGGAGGTGACTATATTTTTCTTCCATTTCCACTTACTTATGCTGGTATTCAATTCTCATATTAGTCACATATATGCCCAGATCAGGATCAGCTGATGCTCAGGAAGCACAAACTTGGCATTCTGCACTGCAAGGAGCACTTAACTCCCCTTGCTCCTAAATCTGAGGATACTACCTGGGCTTTTCTTAGGCAAAACTGGACCCAGCTGCTGTTGCTGCCTAAGAAACCCAAAGAAATTCTCAGGCTCTAATACCCAAATTAGTCCCCAGGTTACTCTGTGCAAATCAGTATGTCAAAACGGTTTGCAAATCTCAGCTGAATGCCAGGAGGAGAAATAGCCATGGAACTCAGTTCAGCACTGTTACATAGTTATTAGTGGTTGTCAGAGATGTGATATGACATGATGTGACAGAAGAGATTTGGCACACAATGCCACAGAGGCAGCAGGAACAGGCAAGTCTTCTGCCCCGTTTTCCTTTCTGAGGGCATTAGGCCTGATTTTGACTCCCCATCAGTTTGATATCCAGATGTCCTTTTAGATTTGGTCTTGCATCTAAGAGGTCAAGAAGCCTTAGCAGGACAAAATTCATGCAATTAACACTTGAAAAGTAAGAACATAAGAATGGTGTAACTCTGTCCTCAGACCTGGCTCTGCTGGGAGGGAAGAAATAAACCAACTCATCACTGGGCCTGTGCTTTTTGATTTTGCAGGTGTTCCTCACCAGTCAAAGTTGCTGCTAACAAACTGTATCTCAGGACAGTAGTACCAACAGCTGCTATTTCTTTCACTTCCTTTTTCATAGAGTGATTTTAGCTACTGCAGCTAGGCCTGTAACCTTAGCCAGGACAAGTGCCACGAAGAAGATAAGGCTCTGAAGGTAACCTTTTGAAGGAAAGGGAAAACAAACCTGGGAGATTACACTAATGATCTGTGACAGTTGCATTTAATATCAAAATAGCTGATTTTTATGCCCTCTTCAGTGAAAGTATAGGTTTTAGACATATCTCAGCTGAACCCATAAACACCACTGTGACAGAGCCTTACTTTTCCAAAAAACAATGGCATCACAGTTCTCATAAATAACCTGCAGCGTTTTTAAAATCAAATATTTAATGGATTGTATTTGATTAAATAGCACTTTTATCACCTCCAGTGTTCTTGTTCAATGCCTCCTACCCATTTATCTTTCCTCTATGAAATCTGCAACTGCCTGGGAAACTTAAACTTACTCTAAAATGCTGCCATGGAAACCACTCAGGAATCTGAATTCATGCTGTCTGGCATAAGATATTATGCCATTTTATTCCTTGATTAGAGGGACAGAATTAGTTTATAGAAAGACATGACTTAAAATATTTCTACTCTGTTTCTGTCTTCAATGATCATCTGTGAAATAAGTTAAAGTATTGATTTTGCAGTAATTTAAGGGGTTTTATGCTGTGTTGAAATATACATTTATGCATTGTGTATTACATGTATAACTGTCTTAATTTTGAGAAAATTAATCTAGTATTGGGAAAAAAAAAAAAATCAACCTAAGCATTTTGCACAAGAAGTATGTGCTCTTTCCTGTAAACCAGAATTCAGTTTCCCAACGCCCAAGTTCCCCATCAGTCCAACATGAAAGATCCAACAGTTGAACCTTGAAAATACTGAAACAAACTGATTAGCATTCTAAAAACAATTCCATTTTTTGTAACAAAAAATACTCATATTTGCTTGATCTGAGTTAATGAAGTTTTACATCAGCTAGCTAAAGCTGTTTTACTACTACACATCTGACCAAATGTCTCATGACATCTGCAGTGTGTGTCCAGATCTGTAAATTTGGCAGACATTCCTAAATTACCACCCAGCACAGTTGTTGATAGTTGTTTGAAACAGAAATCTGTGGAACAACCTAGAGAAACTGAATGATGTCAAAAGTAAGCAACTGCAGGTCTAGCAGTTTTGTTAATCATCTCCTGTTAACATGCTGGAGCTTAATTGTTTTAAACTAACTTTGGATTTGTTTGCACAGCTTATAACAGCAAATGGTCTCAATAACTCTGTTAACAGTCACCTCATCAGAAATGCTCCAAATGGCAGCAGCTCAGAAGAGCTTAATTAAGGACATGTTTATCTTCCCCAGCAGCAACTAAATAGCCAGTTAGAAAGACAAAAGCCTGCAGCTGAAACAGAATGCTGACAGTGGCTAAATCAGTGAAGCTGCTCTGGAAAATCTTGGCAAAGCTAGGAAGAAACAGAGTACTGAGAAAGGAAGAAGACTACATAGAGAAACAAGCAACAGAAAAGAACTGCTGTCTGTGGCTAAATGTGAGACTTCTGGGCTTGAACCCCAGGGACATAAAGGCCTGGATTCCCTCTAGTTCAGTAGCAAAAAAGATGATGTGGAGAAGAGCTCATAGGGTTAGGGTACCCCAGGATAATTAGCTAAGCTCTGGACTTCATGGACAAGTTTTGGCTTTGTGCTCTTCTCATGCAACAAGTGTCTGAGCTAAAATGGAAGGCAAATTGCAGATAGTAGAAATAAAATTATTCTAGACTTGATACAGGTGGGCACCAACAAGAACCTTCAGTATAAGGCAAGGGAGAATTATAAACTGTGGTTCACATTCCATTGCTATTATATCAATGAATTTGAAAATTAGAACATTCATCAGAAGTTGTAACTCATTAGATCTCATCTGCAGCAATGCTGAAGTTCTCTTAGTATACATTTATGGTAGTATCTCGAGTAAGTACTGAAGCAAATGTTTCCCTCTGATAACTTCAAACCAAAATTTAAAATTGTGAAAAAATTGTTCTAAGGAAATACAGTCTAGTTTAACAGTGCTATTAAACAAATTCTGCTGAGGAAGAAACCAAGGCAGCTGTTACATTTTAACATCCGAGGTAACTGTCCCTACCGCAGAGATCAGCTCCCTACAGGAACCACCAGCCTGCAGCCTCACTGTTCAGCTACATCAATGTCTAAAAAGAAAAAATAAAAATACTCCAGGGAGAATATTTTAAGTACACTCCAGTCTCGGTTTTATAACAAAACATTTTCTTCCAGCCATGTGTAAGTGGAAACTACATCCATTAACTAATCATCTCTGGATGGCTCAGAAATAGAGGGGAGCACTAAAAAGTGACTTGTAACAAGAAACCAATCACTGGTCATGACGTTTGTGACCGTAACAAAAAAATCAGGATTGTCAGAGGCTCAATTTTACTGTGTAATGCAGCTGGTTTCTGTCAAGGGCAAACTAGGCAGTCATTAAAAAAAAACAGCAGTTCCTCTCATGTTATCTTTCATAACACCAGGTCAAGCTCTGTGCAGTGGGACCAGTTTGGGGGTCAAAGAGACACCCTTCTTTAACCTTTTAGTGAGAGTTGAATTCAGCCCATTATGAGAATGTTGTTCTTTCTGCTTGTCTCCCACATCTGGCACAGGAGACAAGATGTCTGGGGTGTCTTCGTTGACAGATTTCAGTTTTAAAAGTGACTTTAACAGGACTATCTTTAATCCTAGTGGTCACCAAAAAAACCTAATAACTGTCTAAATTGTGAAAAATGACACTTTAATCCAGAATGGGAAAGAAGAAAATGTACATCTCCAGTAAAAAGACACATAAATTGCAGAAAAGCTAGTGGTACATAGTCTAGTGGGACATTTTCTTAGACAGTGGCTGATGTTTTAAACAAACACATAACCATGTGCAAGCATGTAATCTGTTGTAGAAAATATTTTACATAGTGTGGGTTTGAGGGAGAGAAAGAATATACACCACATGTTCAGCTGGAGGGAGCGATAAGAAAAGGAATGGAGGCTTAATGAGCATGAGAATGCTTGTGTGTAATCCATGAGAGAAACTGCTCAGGAGGACTCCTGTGATATGAAAATACCTCATACTCTCAGGCTTAACAAGACCTAGGTTGATTGCTTGAGCAATAACATTGGTAGCACAGAACTTTAACTTGAAGGCCCCATTTATTTTTTTAGCTTGCCAGGAGCTCTATTTGAAGTACTCGTTAAGCCTAACAGGAATCTGCTGGGGATGAATAAGAGAGAGAATGAGATTAATTTCCTGTGCATGTGCCTCACAGAAACACCTGCAAAGGCACCCACAAAGAAAAAAGTAACTGTTGGAAGTAACTGATAAAAGCTGTGCAATTAGCCTGTTTGGCCCATAGAGCACCACATGAAGAAATTACAGTAACTACATTGGAATCTATGATCCCAGAATTGTTCTACTTAAAATGTGTTGTAGATGAAGAGGAAAGTTTGCCCTGATCTGCCTGAATATGTTTCAGTGACCACAGTCAGAAAAAATGAAGAAAGAAGTGTAAGGCTAAAATAGAAGGTATTATATCAGTACTTAACATAGATGTCACCTAGAAATACCTGTGAAAGCACAGAGAGTCAATCTATGCTGTTAGTCTAGAACCTGTCAAGATTTTTGTAGAGCTGTTTCAGTAGCCCATTGGGATCTTATTCCTACTTTAATTTCCCAGTTACTGTTGCAGGACAGCTACACTAGCATCAGTACCTCCAAGGCCATGTTTGCTGCACTTCTAGCTTTATCACAAGATGGTGCTACAAGAGACTAAGGACACTCTAAGCCTCTCTGAAGGATTGCTCAGGGAAATGGCCTGTAAAAAGCCCCTCCCCAGCTTTCCTGTAGCCCCTTCAGGCACTGGAAGGTGCTCTAAGGTCTCCCTGGAGCCGTCTCTTCTCCACGCTGAACAGCCCCAACTTTCCCAGCCCATCTCCATAGCAGAGCTGCTCCAGTCCTTGGATCATCTTCATGGCTTCCTCTGGACTAGCTCCAATAGCTCTATGACCTTCCTGTGTTGGGAGCTCTAGAACTGGCCACAGTGCTACAGGTGGGGTCTCAGGAGACTGGAGTAGAGGGGGGACCTTGTAAATAGCCAAGGAGGGACAGAAGGGTGGATGGAAGTACAGAAATAAGACTAAAGTTACTCACACAAAAGCCGTCTGTGTGTATCAGTGATGTTTGCATTCTCATGCCAGAAGGGGTTTATCAAAGGGTAACATTCGCTCCTCACTGAGAGAGAAACACAGTAAGAAAGAAATTACACGTTAGCATCTTATTGCAACATTTTTATTAATTATTATTATATTAACTGCTTTAAAACTAGTCATTCTTAGGTAGGAAAAGAAAGGAGGGGGATTTCATCACCCAGCATTGGCCAACTTCTGCTTCCATGAGGCCTGACCACTGAATCCAAGGAGGAAACATCTTGCCTATAAGGAACTTAATTACTCCTTGTTTTTAAGGGTGGAATTAAAACAAAAAATAATATGCTGGCATACAAATTAAAATAAATGGGGGGAAAAATCCTCTAATATACCCAGAGGGTTTATGGATCTTTCATTAAAATGCAGAACTATGAAATAACAAGCAAGGTCAAATGGAGTGGAATTACTTGGTGAACCTGACGAGTCCTTAGTCACTTGCCTCTAGTTAGTTAGTACAGGATTAAGTTAATTTTATTTATATGGTTTATATATATACATTTCAAACAAAATATTTACATTGGTATCACTTATATTAATACTACTTGTACTGCTTGTATATATAAACTATTTATGGTTTAATATAATTTACATTTATATTTATACTTGTATTTATCATTTTAATGGCTTTAACCCGGAACGTTCACCCCTTAATTCCCCGAGTCAAATGAAAAGACATCTCTTTCCTTCTAACTGGTTAACGTTGATTACATTAGTTTGAATTAAAAGTTAACGTAAAACTAGGTTACCGCAGCAGGAAATTCACTCTCCCCGCGTCTCCTTCGGCAAGAGACAAAGAAGTGCCGAAGAGGAGCGGACAGGGTGTCCGCACAGGTGAAGCCTCAGCCCCCGCAGCCG